AATAAAATAAAATAAAAAGAGGGGGCTTTAAAGCACTGTAAAGTGGTATTTGTCTAAATGCTATTGCTAAACATATGAAGAATGGTTACAGGAACTGGGCATGGCTAGTCTAGTGGAGAGAAGAATTGGGGAGATGTGATACCAGTGTTCCAATATTTGAGGGGCTGTCACAGAGAGGATGGAGTCAAGCTATTTTGCAAGGCACCTGAAGGTAGGAAGAAAAGGAATAATGGATGGAAACCGATCAAAGAGAGATTCAACCTATAAATAAGGAGAAACTTTCTGACAGTGAGAACAATCAGCCAATGGAACAGCTTTGCCTTCAGAAGTTGTGGGAACTTCATCACTGGAAGTTTTCAGGAAGAGATTGGACTGCCATTTATCAGAAATGGTGTAGGGTCTCCTGCTTGGGTGGGGGTTGAACTAGATGAGCTTACAAGGTCCCTTCCAACTCTGTTAATCTGTTATAAAAGCTATTGCTATCTGTGAACTGTGAATAGGAAAATATGCAAGCAGCACAAATGATATCAGGGATGCTGTGAAGGCAATTCGGAATTGGTTCATACAACTCCAAAATGAGTCGTGCGCATGCAAATAGCATTGGACTGATATCCAATCTCATGGCCCGTGATATATCTCATTCTTTGCAAAGCAGATCTTGGCCTGTTGATTTACTAGTTCGCTACTTGTTTGTACTATTTGTCATAGCCTGATGAATTGTTATTGGGAAGCCAAGGTAGCCACCAAGTCTAATATTTTTGTTTCAAACTGTCAACTTTATATAATTAAATGGCCCAGCAAAATCTCTCAGTAACCTGAAAAGAAATTCATTTCCCGTTATCATTCAGTATAATAATTTGCATGCCTATTCCAAATCAACAGTTGAACCAGGCTTCATGTATCATTGCTTGAAAATAAATAAGTGTGGCTACTTTCTTTAATCTGCACTGAATAAGAGAGATGATCTGTAAGTTATCTTTGGAAGATTCAATGATGATGGAGGGAGGGAGGGAGGAAGGGAGGGAGGGAGGAGGAGGAGGAGGAGGAGGAGGACAGAAAACAAAAAAACCAAATTAAAAAATGGTAAAAATATGGTTTATTATTGTACTGCAGCAATAAACTGTTCCATCCTTCTATATTTAAGAGAGGTTATTAATCAAAACTCAGTTCTTTGTGTTATTTTTATTTTCTACTTGCGAAAATCTAACTCAAATTTATTTCAGTCTCACAAAGTGTCCTCTGCCTTAGAACTTAATGACTTTTTAACTATATCTACAGAGTGTTATCCTCTCCCTTGCCAGCTCTAAGTATCTGTTCCTCAAATTAATCAAACTTTCCTAACTGGAGAATTACTTTGACTATTACAATGCCCGTTCTTTATTACATCATATTATCAGATGATGATAAAGGTTTGGCAACAGTCAAAGATACGGAGGTGGCAGTTTTAGGAATACAAACTATTCCATAGAAAGTAGGAAAGAAGCAGGGACATAACCATCTCAAGGTATTTTTGAGAAAGTTCATCGCAAATTTATTTTACCTCAGAAAGCTAGCATCCGTTATAGTAGACCCTTCATAAACTGCAAGACAACTGTAGAGTCCATCATTTTCAGCAAAGAAACACCATGAAAATCAAAATATTGGGGAGACTTGTATAAAAGAAGGATTGCATTTGCATGGCAAAAGCATGCGTATGCAGGAAAAATGAACAAAAACAAACAATACATCAAAGTATTGTAGAGATAATGGGTTGCTTATTAAAAATATCATTAAAAATACAAGCATTACAAAACTCTAGCATCTGCATTTTTATGGTGTGGTAGTGTTTGGGGAAAAAATTGGGCAAATTAGAATATGATATAGCAGTGATATCAACCAGATTAATAGGTTTCCATGCATTTCTATCATCCTACCAAATGTCTGATTTTTTGGAGGTAAATTGTTTAATTTATCCAAAAGTATAGCTTCAAACCTCATTTTGGACCTCAATACCTTTCCAGTTTTGGCCTCTTTTTTTCTTTTAACAGCAAATGTGCTTCTGCAATGTGATTAAACTGATACGGATATGAAATGAGCCCTGAACCAACCTGGGTGAAAATAAATCAACAATATCACTGAATGACCACTAAATAGATCACCATTATATATTGCTGAATTTCACTGAATGGTACCAGGATAGAAAGTGGGAGACTGGGCGTTCAAGCCTTGCCCTGCCTGTGAAAGCAGCTCAGTCACTGTGTGTCTCAGTCCAACTCACCTCATAGGGTTGTTGTGGGGAAAACAGGAGGAGAAACATGTGTTGAATATGTTTGCCACCTTGAGTTATTTGTGAAAGTAATAAAGGTGGTGTCAACTCCCCCACGTTGTCATGGTNGACTCTTCATACATTTCACGTATGTATTACTTCAGGCAATTTGGAAAGTGTAAAATCAATTCTATATTATATCTAGGATATGTTCCTGAAAATAAAGCTTTGTTGGGAAAATATTTTGATTCCAGTATCTTTCTAATATGGAATAAGCAATTTCCTGTACATACATATAAGCCTAAATACATTTTTAAATGTTTTTCGTGCTATGATTTAAAAAAAAAAAATCCTGGTAATTTAAAACAAACCTGCTGAGCAGCTGTCGCAATTAAGAAAAGAAAAAAAAGTCCATTTCACAGCTTTTAAAGCCATGAGGTAAGTCTTACCTGTACTTGGTCAGATTTTGTCTTCCTTGAGCAGTACCATAAACATTGAATCAAACTGACGATATACATTTTGGAGGGAGCAAATCAAGTAACAGAGGGAATTGGCAAACCACTCAGGGACCTTTGGAAGATCAGGAAGTGTTGTCTTCCTGCAGAAGGAGGCCACAAAAAAAACAGAAAAATATATATCAGAAAATAGCAACTTCAGGAATAGCATTTTCAGTCAACCAGTAAAACATGCTGAAGAACATAACTGAGAGTTTCCCAAAAAATATTTAAAATGCATCAAGAATAAGACAGAAAAACAGAGGCCTCTTTCCCAATGGAAGAAAAGAACTGAGAAACACAAGACAGGGATCACTGCAGCCTCTTAATTAGAAAGCCTGAAAGGAAACTATGGGCTGTGTATTCCCCGAGGGTTCTGTCTGAACCAAAGGAACACAACCAAAGGAACTACAAAAATGCTTGCAAGAAAAGAGAGAGGGCGGAAAGGACGGAACCCAATTAATTCCAAATCCAGCTCCAACTTTCAATACCTCTTGAAAGGAGACACTTTTATCACCTCAGTGGAGAGTATAGTTGTTCCTTAAAAATTGGGATTGAATGTTGGTTGAGGGGTTGCAAAAAAGGAAAGACTAATTTTTGTCCGACTCTCATTTTTGTAGGAGATGATCAGATTGAACCCGAGGGGGTGGGGTNTGTGTGTGTCTATGTGTACATTTGGTCTGAGTACATTTTAAAGTTTTCACTGTAATTTTTGCCATGGATGTTAGTTAAAAAGTTAATATGTCCTCTTTTTCCCACCATTTGTCTTCCTTTCTAGTTGTGCATGACCCCTCTGTCTGTTCACATATCTAGTTACCATATTCATGTTTTCATTCAATACCAATAGAGGACATTTCTTTAAGCGGTATTATGAACTGTGCTTCCCATAACACTATTTCTGTTGGCATTTTAACACTGTAGGTTATCAAACAGGATTAATTATTCCAGAAGCCCCAAAATGAAACAACTAGTAAGTAATCAATACAATTTATTAAATAAAATTTGAAACTAATGGAACAAAGGTCAATGAAATTATAGGCAGAAAGTAATTTATGGGGGATTTAGCAAAAGAATATTTGAGGTTGGTATGTAAGGCAATTAAATCAGCTGGTGACAATTTGTGGGAATTTAGCATATTATTCAAACTAACGAGGAAAGGTGAAGCAGGAGTTCAGAGCGTGGCAGGAAAAATGGGTGGGGTCAAGAAATGGTTCACTTTATAGAGCTAATAAGAAGAAATGTAAAAAGAAAAATAGAGACTCCTGCTACCCCACAGAAATGGAGAAGTGTTTATGCTTTATGCCACAGCAAACAGGGAGACAAATTTGCAAGATGTATCATTCACTTGTATACACGTAAACATTTTCCGCTTAAGCATATCAAGTGCAGAAAATATATTTGCCTGCAATGTAGAATAAAATAGAAGGTTTCTGGTTTGAGGTGGGCAAATGAGGAATGGAGTGAGGTGAGGAGAATCACTTTTTCTTTGTAAGGCAAGGGTGCTTTTTCACAGAATTCTGACAGTTGGCCTTAAATGAAATTCCCAAGAGTGGGTAAGGAAAGGATATTGAAGCTCCCTGTCAACAGTTCTTTGGCTAGTGTTCTTTAGCTAGATCAGCTCAGCTTTAGATTTCCTGGTTCCAGGAAGCCACACTTCTTCAGGAGCTGAGGACTTGGTCCTTTTCAAAGAATGGCCATTGATATACTGTTTTGTTCAATTCAGGGACATGGTGGCTCAATGGCTAAGATGCTGAGCTTGTCAATCAGAAGGTCGGCAGTTCAGCGGTTTGAATCCCTAGTGTCGCNCAAGGAATATAAATCCTTCTGTTCTTCACCCCTCAATCAGAACTGAAGAAGCTTGTTGGATGAGAAACAAAATGTCTTCAAGGAAGAATAAAACCAAATTGCCTTTTGAAAAAGCACCTTTGGGTCAACCATGACCTGGATGACTTCATAGTGATTAAATAAATATTTTGTAGCTTTAAATAATCCCAATCAAATATATTTTCAATGCATATGGTTGTTTAAGTGGAAAATCTCCATCCATAGACTAACATCCTGTAAGAAAGTATGGGAAATTTTACCATGAAATGCATTGATTTAACCTTAGACCAGACACTAGTCAAATTCAAGCCATTAGTAATAAACATTAATTCAGGCAGCATGCAACTTTATTTTTTAACCCATAGCCAAGCTTATTATCTGGAAAATATAGTGACCTGAATATTATTTACAATAACAGCTTCAGTAACCTATGCAAGGAAAATGATTCCATCTCAAGAAAGAAAGGAGTGTGGTTATCAAGGGATCACACGCAAAAGGTGCAAACGGATTGGATGCTGCTTTGATCTAAAGGCATACTGGTGTTTTCATCCCCCAGTAAATAATGGTAGGTAATTTTTTGAACTTGTAAAGAGCTAAACAAAGAAAGAAAAGCAATAAAATGTATATCCACTTTCCCCTATTTTCCTAAAAATCTATTCTTTCCCCCTCTTATTTTATCCAATATTCTAAAGCAGATATATCTAATCTTGGTGATTTTAAGACTTGTATACTTCAACTCCTAGAATTCCCTAACCATCATGGCTGGCTGAGGAATGCTGGAAGTTGAAGTTCATGGGTCTTAAAATTGCCAAGGTTGAACCCCCTCTTCTGTAAAGTGTCTAAATAAATAACATTAATAATGTTAGCATATTGTATCAATATCATTGCACTGAAATAAAGTAAGGTGTCAAGATTTATATTAACATAATAAAATGGGGGGGGGGGAGAAGCAAAACCAGCTCACAAGTCTATTACATCAATTTCTGGTAAAAGTATGTTGACACACTCAAAGAAGTTACATGTATCTAAGAACTTCATTGTGAAAGCCAAAGCAGCCATCTCTTTAGTTTGTTATGTTGGCTGGAGAAAAACCAGAATTTACAGCCCATCCAGAAGAGGACTTCTGTTACTTGAATTCTTGGGTTTGGTTTTTTTTTTAAGCTTATGTTTTCTTAAGTTTTCTCACTAAGCATTTATTCATATAATGTTTTCAAAGATCGTCCACTCTACACTTATCCCTGATTTTTTAAAAAAATGAAAAATATAAAGAAGAATGATTTTATTTATGTAAAGTGATTCATTTTTCTGAATAGTTTCTCAACACTGTGTAATGGAAGGGAGTGCGAGGCTAGAATGTGGTTACCCAGGCATCACCGCTGAGGAATGTCAAGCAAAGGGATGTTGCTTCAATTCATATGACATTAATACCCGGTGGTGCTTTCATCCTCTGTCGGACACAGGCAAGTATCCACACATGGAAGCTACATTTACCTGAAACTGAGAGAGAGAAAATCAATCTGAGATGAGAATACATTTAGGAGTGGCTAGAAGGTGTGAGAGATGGAGTTGAGATGGTGGGGAACAAACCCCCTGGGACCAGAGAGGATCCATTTTGTAAACAAAAACCAGATGCCATCAACAAGTGAGTGTGATAAATGGACTGCAAACAGTTTGCTCCAACCAAGGAGTGACAGAAACTCAGTAGTTATACTTTGGGATAGATGTAGATGTGGGGGAGGGGGGAGGAAAGAGAGATGGGTGGTGTTTTTTTTATTTTTTAGGCGGTTCAGAAGTGAATTTTTGTTGTGCTAGCGTCAGTCATATTTGCAATTAAACATCTTATCTAATCAAACTGAGTCTTGACTTTCCTGGAAGCATGCTCAGTTCCATGAGGAAGAAGTATTGTTGTAGTGGCTTGTTAATAATTTAAATTGTTATCTAATCAGCATTGTTTGCCTATTATTTATAGTATGACTCTGTAATAAAATGGTTTTATCCCTGAAAACTGCCATAGCAGACTTCTGTCTTAAAAGGAGCAAATAAATATTATCAATAAATATATAAATTAATTCATAATAGAATTCTTTATTAGTCCAAGCATGATTAGACACACAAGGAATTTGTTTCCTGTGCAGAAGCTCTCAATGTACATGCAAAACAACAGAATAATGATAATCATAATAATAATACCAATAAGAAGTAAGTCTTTGTTTGAGATGGAGGATCTTTCCACCAAAATGAATCGTATTGTTTTTCTACATTCATTGTTCTTATACTGCTTTATCAGCAAGAGAATATATTTCAAGACATCAAGACTATACTTCTTTATTCTTTGTTTTAAGTACCTGCAAGGCTATGTGGAATGGCACCCAAGAAACGAATGTCGTGTGGAGCTCCTGGCATTTCTGCTGATGAATGCATGGCGAAAGGATGCTGCTATGAACATTACCAGTATGCCAACATGGTTCCCTGGTGTTTCCATCCACATGAAAAACAAGGAAATTATTCTCTCTGAAGAACATTGAAAGAAATGTGGCTTATTTAAAGAAATGCTTGCAGAGTGAAGGCCAATAGACATAATGTTAGTATGTAGATTTCCTCATATTCTTTGTATTATGTAAATGTTTACTGTTTGATATTTTGAGAATATTCTCTTCTCTTCTCACTTTTTCAGAAGGAAGAACTGTTGCATCATTACTAGAATTATCAAGGAATAAATCAATGATTTCATATTTTTGCACAATTCTGAATGATAAATAACAGACAAGTCACTAAATGTAGTACATTTTTGATCTAAATATTCAAAATAAACAATTTGAAAGTACATTAAGGTTTGCATTCAATACACAGATTTAAAGACATTTCAGCTTTGGTTGTTGGATTAAATAGGGCCATTTCTATAGCACACTGATGATAGGCTCTTGCCACTTCTTCAATAGATAGCTGTAAAGGCATGTACACAAAGGTATCCTTGGATATCTTAGCCATAGAAGTGGCCCAAAATATGGGAACTACGTTTTTAAATAAGAACAGGGCAAATACAACCATGCTACTCGTTTCGAACATCTTTCCAATTCTATTTTCTATATTTTAAAGCTATATGGGTAGCCCACATTTAGCCTCGTACAGTGACTGTTTCCAGTTATGACAGTGATGAAAAAGTAACTGTGACCAATCCTCACATTTATGACACTTCTAAATTTCTAAAACAAAGGAAAGCTGAATTAAAACCATAAGCAAATTCATGTTTTCACTTAGTAACCATTTTGTTTAACAACTGAGTTTCTGGTCCCAATTGTGATCACTAAATGAGGACAACCTGTAATTAGCTTGACTTCTAAGTATTTAAAGGTCATCCACACCTGAATGTTTAGCTTTTAAGAAAATCAAAACTGGTTTTCTTCCAGATTAGTATCCGCATAAAAGTAAGACTTCATGGGCACTTCATAGCATCTGAAACTTGTCATGTCCCAATTCTTTCAGTATCCAGACTTAAAGAAACCAGACTTTCCCATGGCTTTTATTGCTTTATTTAGTTCAATTTTAATTGGTTCTGATATTGGGATTAGTGTTTAACTATATATATATAGAACCAATTAGAACCAATTAAGAGGATATATATATATCCTCTTAGATTTAAATTAACTTTTAAAGAAATGTTTCCTAATTTTTGTGAGTACATTTGAGGAGGAAAATGTATTTTGAATAAACAAATGAAAAACGGGATGTTACTCAATCTACATTCATACCTGAGAGGTCAATTTCCATATTGCTCAACAATGAGGAGATGTATTAGCCAGCAGAAAGTATCAGAAAATACAGAGTAGAAAGTTTTGTAAAGAAGCATCTGGATTGAAACAGAAATGGAGTAAAAGATCTTTTTAGCAAATATGTATTGGTGATGAAGCAGAGGGATTTTTTTTTTTAAAAAAGGCCTGCCTTCTTAATTTTCTAAAATTTATTTCTTCTGAAACTGTTCAATATTCGACAGTTGGCTAACGGCCCAATCTTGGCTAATATAAACACTTGACTGACATCATTTATTATTTTCCTTTTGCAAATATCATCCAGATACCTCCACCACATACCTAGTAAATCTGAATTACATTTTATAATTACTTGAGGTGGAGCTTTACTCCACCTCTGAATTGTTATCTGAATGAAGTACACAAACATAATGATATAAAATAAGCTCCATTTATGCCACATAATACTCTCTTTGATCCAAATCCAAGGGTTGTGTGCTATGAAGAATCAGAAAAGGGTCTGGTTATGCCTAGTTATTTTAATTCTAGGTTGCAGTGTACTACTTGAAGGAATAACAGCTCCACGTAAGTACTTTACTTTAGCACTAGCATTTTGCTGCAATGTTTCAGTACATGGAAGACACTAAATATGATATTTAACTCATTTAATATTTAGACAGTTTTAACTAATTGCTGATATTTTGAATTTTGTAGATAATTTTATTTCTGCTATTTCTAAGCCTTATAGATTAGACAGTCATTAATCAGTTAGGAAGGGGTCCCCAACCTCTGGGTTGCAGATTGCTACCAGTCTGCGGTCTGTTGGGAACCAGGTTGAGCAAGAGAATGAGCAAAGCTTCATTTGTGCAAGCACAGGTTTATTCTCATAGGTTGGTCTCAAAGACCATGCTGTTTGGACAGCATGAAATTTCAATACATGGAGATGGCAGTAAGTTAGGAAGGCTGCATTAAAACTTAACAGCCATGTGGTTTGATATAATATTGCTTTTGGTTTAAGAGATTTCCAGCATGATTGAATCCAAAAAGATGAAGCTGAAGAGGCAGCACCGATGTTCTTAAAACTTACATTTTTCTGATAAGTATGTCAATGGTAAAACATTCAAAATAACACCCAACTATTGAACTATTTCAGCAACAAGCAATTAGCTCATAAAAAGTTTCCATGGTTTGGATTGATTCTGCTAACAGACTGGAGCAATGTGCCATTCACAAGGCATCTTTTAAAAGAAATTAACCATGAAGTAGCCAATTATGATATTAATATTTCACAGCAGCATTTAAAAATGGGAATTGTGGACAGTGGGCAGCATACTTGCTCACTT